CTACCACCACTACTACTACTACTACTACTACTACTACCACTACGACTACTACTACTACTACTACTACTACTACTACTACTACTACTACTACTACTACTGATACAGTCATTTCACCATCGCGCGGCATGTTTCCACACGCCACACGCATCCCGCTGGATGCCACACCCCATCATGGGGGGCGTTTCTGGCGCGCGGGGCCCGACACCCCTTCGCCTAGATATCCCGCCCAAGAAAGAATCGCCACCACCTCTTCCGAAGAACTTCGAGATCCACAGCTCGGACGGCACATCGCCATCGCAATCGCCTTGCGCGCGCCCTGCATCGCGGAGAAGGAAGAGGACGAGGAGGGGAGGGAAGATGAGGGACAGGAAGAGAGGAAGGAGGAGGAGGAGGAGGATAAGGAAGAGGAGGGGGGGGAGGAGGGAGGAGGAGGAGGAGAAGGAGGAGGAGGAGGAAGAGGAGAAAAAGGAGGGGGGGGAGGAGGAGGATGGAGGAGTAGTTGTAATAGCAGCACCTCCGAGGACGAGGTGGTTTTTACTCCTCGTTCGAGCTGTTACGCCACCATCCTGCGGCCCCGGCGCGTGACCCTGAACGTTCACGCCCCCAGGCGCTGCCGCCCCCTATGCTCGCATCCTCCACCTGCCCCTCCACACCCTCTCAAGGAATCCCTGAAGTCAATCCTTCGACCCTCGATCCTTGGAGTCCCTGGAAGTCATCCGTCCTCATTATTATCCTCCTCCTCCACATGATCGGCGCTCTCAAAAAATGGTCCTTATCGGAGAATTAAGGTTTAACAGGGATTCTTGGAAGCCTCCCAGACGCGATGCCGAAACGAGGGCCCCAGTCTTGAATAAAAGGTGAGGAAGTACCAAGCGGGAGCGACGAGGGAGGACGGAAGGGGAAGGGCGGAGGGAGAAGGGAGGAAGAAGGCAGGAGGAGGGAGGAGACAAGGGGGACAAAACGGGAAAGGAGGAGGGAGGAGGAGGGAGGAAAGAAGGACGGGAGAGGGAGGAGGGAGGAGGCAGAAGAGGATGGGGTAAAGGGAGGAAGAGGGAGAAAGAGGAAAAGGGGGTAGGAGGAGGAGGAAGAGGAGGAGGAGGAAAAGGAGGAAGAGGAGGGAGGACGAGGAGGAGGAGGAGGAGGAGGCGGAGGAGGAAGAGGAGGACAGGGAGGAAAAGGGGGGAGGGAGGAGGAGGTAGGAAAGAGGGACGGAGGAGGGAGGAAGGAGGAGGGAGAACAGGAGGGGGTGGAGGAAGGAAGAGGGAGGAAGAGGGACGGGGGAGTAGGGAGGAGGAGGAGGAGAAGGAGGAGGAGGAGGAGGACGAGGACGAGGAGGAGGAGGAGAAAAGGGCGCCAGTCCAGCGTAAAACGGGAGGAGGTCTCGGACGGGAGCGCTGGTTTTGTCGGGACGGGAGCTGTCGGCGGCGAGCAAAAGCACCGCCTTGAGTAAAAAAGGGGAGGAAATCTCCAGGTGGAGCGTTGTTGTTGCTGGGGGGCGGCGCCGATGAGAGAAAGAGTAGCGCGCCTGTCCAAGGTAAAACGGGAGGAAGTCTCGAGCGGATGCTGGTTTGGTTGAGACGGCTGCTTTCGGCGGCGAGCAAGAGCACCGCCCTTGAGTAAAAAAGGAGAGGGTCTCGAACGGGAGCGTTGCTGTTGTTGGGGGGCCAGTTTTGGCGGTCCCACAAACCGCTTGAGAGTGAGCCTCATTTTCATGTTGAGTGGACATGCAGCCAGCGCCTCGGCGAAAGCGCCAGTCCGCCGAAAGGGTCCAACCATGATAATTGCTTGATAATGAACATTCAACAACAGCAACAACAACAACTAACATTGTTACTAGTACTACTACTACTACTACTACTACTACTACTACTACTACTACTACTACTACTACTACTACTACTATTACTACTACTACTACTATTACTACTACGACGACGACGACGACGACGACGACGACGACGACGACGACGACGACTACTACTACTACTACTACAATCATGTTAAGACTGTTCGCCCTTATATGCTCGAGTGTCCAATAACGCGTATTTCCCAAACCCTCGATACCCGCCCTCTTCGTCTTCGATCGAACCCCTTTTGGGGGGTATACCTTTCCTCCCTGCAGGCAGGGCCCCGGCAAGCGGCGGGGCGGCCGCGGACCGTCGGCCTGGCCAGCGGCAGCGTCGGCGGGGCGCCCGCGGACCGTCGACCCGACCCCAAGAGGAACGGACAGGGGACCAACGACGACCACGACGACGACGACGACGACGACGACGACGACGACGTCGAAGACGACGGCGACGACGACGACGACGGCGACGACGAGCGAAAGCGAGAGCGAGAGAGAACGACAGCAGGGCCACAAGGACACGAAGTAGGGCACGAAGGGCGACAGCGGGGACACGCAGGGAATGCGTATGGGCCCACGAAGAGCGCGAACGACCGGGGGCCACGAAGTGCAGATCATGCGGGGCGACAGAAAGCAACTATGGGGCCACTGAGTGTAGCAACTGGGCCACGTAGGACAGTCAGGGGGACACAAATGGCGACAGCGGGGCCACGAAGGGCATGCACATGGGGCCATAACGGGCGCGACTCCTGGGTGCCTGGGTGTCGGGAGCGCGGCGCTTGGGCAAATTGCAAGAAATTCCAACGCAAGGCCATTCTTCAGTAAGTTGCAAGCAAGTCTCCAGCGAGAGCGCGACTCCAAGGCGCCGGGAGAGCGATTCCTGAATAAATTGTAAGGAAGTCCCAAGCGAGAGCGCGATTCCTGAATAAAATGCGAGGAAGTCTCGGGCGCGGGAGCGGGGGTCCTAGCTAAATTGTAAGGAAGTCTCAGGCGGGAGCCGTTGTTGTTGTAACCCGGGGGCCAGGGGGCCAGTTTGAGCAGGAAGACTTTCCCTGTCAAAAAACAGGGTGCGAGCGTCGAGGGGCACACTTTGATTGAGAAAAAACAGTAAGCACCGGTGAGGGGGGATCAACAAGAATTATTCTTCAGAAATGAGAATTCAACCACAACAACAACCACAACCACAACCACAACCACAACCACATCCACAACCACATCCACATTCACATCCACATCCACATCCACATCCACATCCACATCCACAACCACAGCACAACAACAACAACAACAACAACAACAACCACGACGAACGACGACGAGACGACGACGACGACGACGACGACGACGACGACGACGACGACGACGACGACGACGACAACAACAACAACAACAACAACAACAACAACAACAACAACAACAGCAGCAGCAACAACAACAACAACAACATCAACAGCAAAAACAACAACAACAACAACAACAACAACAACAACAACAACAACAACAACAACAACAACAACAACGACGACGACGACGACGACGACGACGACAGCAACATCAGCATAGGCAACATCCTTAGAAAGAACCGGCGACCCCCATAGTGGCGATCCCCGTTAGCACTGCCCGAGAGCTCTACAGTCGAAATCGCAACGTCGCTTCAGGAATAATAAGACAAACGCTACTGTTGAGTGAGTGGTCCGCCAGCAGCTTCGAGGATGGAGAACCGTGGGTCGAAGATCGAGAATCGTGCATCGAGGTAGAGGAGGAGTAGGAGGAGGAGGAGGAGGAGGATCAATGCGTTGGGCGCTTTCGCACTTTTGGAACCTCCGGGGACCTTCGGAGGCCTCTGGGCACCTCGGGAGACCTGTGGAGGCCACTGGAGACCCCCGGGGAGGATGAAGACGAGGGTCGAGGACGAGGCTGATACACTCACGCCCGACTCTGTCCACGAGAGAGGAGCACAAAGTGAGCCCGCCGTCGGCCCCCGCAGAGTCAGCTCGAGCTCCACCCCGCGAAAGCGAACGGCGCGACCCGGGTAAAAACCTTGCTGCCGAATTCCGTGCAGGGCGCGCCGAAGATTGGCGGCCCGCACAAAGGCGGGGGGGGGCGGAGGGGAGGGGACCTCTGAGAAGGCGGGAGGGGGCTCGCGGAAGGCAATCGCCCTCTCCGACGGGCCCGGGGGCCGACGCATCTTGAGAACCCCATGCCTCCCGGAAGCCCCCAGCCCTCTCGCGAGGCCGCCTCGCCCGCCCCGCCCCCGCGCGCCGTCCCCGTTCCCTTGTGCGCGCCGCGGAGGATCCCGGCACACGGTGGCAAAGACTCGTCTTCGGGGCCTCCGCTCAAAACCAGCCCGCCCATCGGGACGAGCGCGCACCACGGCGAGGACCGGGTGCCCGTTCTGGAGACCTCAACTGAAAGCCACTCGCTCCACTCGTGTGTCGATGCTGCATCGAACGTCCGTCGACTTGAGACGAGCTTGGGTCGAACTCGAGTCGAGCTGGAGCCGAGCTGGAGCCGAGCTGGAGTCGAACTGGAGCCGAACGGATCCGTTAGGCGGCCCCAGGGACACCCCGCAGAACGAACACCTCACGCTGAGGCGGGCGGAGGCTCTCAGGAGTCAACTTTGAGGGCTCCCTCTCAGATCGGCAGACGTGAGACTCGGGCTCGGGGGACTCGGGCTGGCCCGACGGGTCCACCATGAAAAGGACGATGACCCAGTCGGAAGTTTGACGCGAGCTCCCGCTGCAGACATCCCACGAAAACTGGACCGCCTAAATCCAGGATTTGGACGCCCGAACTGGGTGCGGAAAAGATGTGTACAATGCCCAACAACAAATGTTGTCCCAAACCAGCAGCGGCCGCTGTTGGGCAGACGGCCGTCTGTCTCAAATGGGCACAGGCCGCGGCGGCGCGGACAGCGAGCCCTGTTCAAAATGAACGAGAACTGCTGTTGGGCATTGTACCCATTCTTTCTGTACCCATCTCGATCGTCCCGACAGGACGCGCTCGTCAAGCAGCGTCGGCAGACCCGAGCTTCGCCGCGCTCGAGCCCATGAGCTTCCCCGACCCGCGGCGAGAGCAAGCGGCGGTGCCCCCGGCAAAAATCGCGACGCGCGGTCGCAGGCGTTCCCGCGCGGGGCGGCGCTGGGCCGAAGCCTCAGGCCCTGCCCTGCTCCATCACGACCTTCATGGCCTCCTGGCCGGCGGTGTCGGCGTCGAGGCGCGCCTGCTCCTGCTTGCTCCACTGGCCCAGCTCGTTCTCCATGTCCGCGCGCGCCTGGTCGAACTCGGCGTTCCAGCTGTCAAAGGCCGCCTCGGCCTCCTTGACGGTCTCGAAGACGCCGAGCAGGTACTTGAAGCCGAAGGCGTCGATGGCCTCCGACTTGTACAGCTTGTCAGCGATACCCCAGGGGTGCCTGAACGAGATCTCGTCCACGGCAGGAATCTTCTCGAGATCCGCCAGGAACTCCTCGTCCAACGGGGGCATCTTCTTGCCAGATTTCTCCTCGAACACCCTCCAGATCTCCTTCATAACATCGGCCTTGGTCTTGTACAAGTCCTTCGACTGAGACTTGAAGAAATTCTTCATGTCCGTAACGTCTTTCTCGATCGTCTCGCGGGCCTTATCCGCCACCGTGCCACTGGCACGTTGAAGCACAGTAGAATGCCAAGGGCTGCCCAGTAGGGTTCAGTCAGCAGGGGGCCGAACGGTCATTCACTGTCCCTGAGTGCGTGGCTGAAGTGGGATTCCGTGGCCTGGACTCTTGTTGTTTGCTGGTAATGAATTACTCGACAACGAGTACTGCAGGAATCCATATCTGCGCTTCGGCGCCAGCTGCACACTCGAGCGTCTCTGGGGTGCGCCAAAACAGGCCCCCCAACAACAACAACCGCAACAACAACAACAACAACAACCACAACAACAACAACAACAGCAACAACAGCAACAACAGCAACAACAACAACAACAAAGCAACAAAGACAACAACAACAACAAAAACAACAACAACAACAACAACAACAACAACAACAACAACAACGACAACAA